CCGCTACGCGTTAGGTGGCACATTGCCAGCAAGCTCCACTTGAATTGTTCCGCTTGTGCCACTGCTGGCAATGCAGCTCCTCCAAATCACCAACAAAGCTAGTGGGCGGAGAGCGCTTTCAAGTCTGCTCAGCAACCAGCGCACCTTTCGTCGTGAAAGCGCCACACTCGCTTCCTTGGCAGCCAAGTACTGCTTCATGTGGCGCATATGCTTCCCCGATGCGCTCCTTTATCGTAATCGCTACCCTAAAGGAGTCCTATGAAGTTACGAGCTGCTAGCAGCTCCACTCCCACGCCCTTTCTCTGACTTTTTAATCTGGTGTACGAGTTTTAGTGCTAGGTGGGCAAAAAGCGATTGTTTCAGGTGTACCAATTCTTTGTTTCCTGAGACAGCATAGAATCTGGGGAAAATGGGAATTGCTCACTCATCCCGTAGTCTCTCCCCTCTTTTGAACTTATTCCCAAAGAGCGATAATAAAAGAAGTTGCTTCTTGAAGTTAAACACATTGCGGACTGCCCGTTGCGGTTATCTATTACTTTTTTTGTAATATCCTTCTATTTTATAAAGCGCTAACTTTGTGTGTCGGTTTGTGTATCTGTATGTGTGTGTGTATGTATGTATGTGTGTCCGTCCGCAAAATGAAGTGAGTGAGAAGGAAGCTCATGGGATAAACAAACCGCTAACAAATCGGGTAGCTTACAGGATTTGAGATATCAATGTTTTGTAGCAGGATAGTTGTGATAACACTCTTAGGGCTATATAAACACCTGCTTAGCACACTTCCGTTCATTCCACATGGTGCTGCAGTGGCAGCTGGAGGGCAGTGGAGAGAGGAAGGGAGGATGAGGAAGGGAAGCGAAAAATCTACCGTCATATCATGATTGTGTCCCTTCTACTGTTTGAAACACCATTGTGTTGCATACGCGTCACTTCCACGAGGTGTTGGTGTCACAGGAGGAAGGGACCATAGCGGAGGATAGAAAGCTTGCGCAGGAAAGGAAGGTCCCGGCGGTTGACGGGGGACTAATCTGGTTAAAATAAATCCATCATTACTTTAACAGCATCTTTTGTTGTTGGATACGCTATGGTTTTCCATCTCCTGAAACTGCAGGTGCAAGCGGGTTTATAAAAAATATTGGAGAAAAGGAAATTTTTTTTTTTTTTTTTTTTTTTTTTTTTTTTTTTTTTTTTTTTTTTTTTTTTTTTTTTTTTTTTTTTTTTTTTTTTTTTTTTTTTTTTTTTTTTTTTTTTTTTTTTTTATTTAAATACTTATGCTTAGGTGGGTAATCGTGTGCCGCATGTGGGGTGCACGCTCTGCGCAGTGTGTTAACGGCGCACCGCAATGCCCTCATAATGTAGAGGGAGGAGTCTGGCGTCGTCGTGGTGAGATAAGCATAGGATGGGAACTCCAAGGAATTGAAGATGCTCACTTATTCTATACCCGTCAAACCTTCCTATAACGAGGGGGTCTTTCAGGGCAAACCGCACTTTTTGAAACGGTTTCTTGCATATTGTAGGGACGTATAGGTACTACATACCTTGTTTCGTTTTCGCTGTTTGGCTTTAGTAGCATCGAAGGAGTGGTGAATGATATCCTTGATGGTTCGCTCCCGCGCGCTGACTAAATTTGCGAATCATTGTTAACGGTCACGTTGGTTGACTCTTAAATGGTTTTGCACACTGACATTAATCTGATTTTGAGTTAGCCGATTATGGGCACAACAAAGAGGCGCCGACCATAATGCAAATTAGTCACGGGGAGTCGACATTCGATCACAGACCATTATTGGTTGATCTTAGATACTGCCAAAAACCGTTACAGCGAAGATGAAATCATGGTTTCCGGGTGTCCTACATGGGATCCTCAAGAACGTTTCTAAAAACCCGTGGCTGGCCTGAAAGACCTCCTTGGAAGGCGAACTCCGGGAACTGACGAATTGATCCTTTCTACAGCTCTACCAAGACAAAAAGGGAAGACAATTAGCTTTCAGCCCTCGCTCCAGACTTCTGAAGAACGATATCCTTCTCAAAATTAGGTCAGCAATAGTTTCTTTGAACGTTAACAATAAAAGACAGTGCTCGTTGTGTTTTGAATGTGTTGGACTCTCCGCACTCTGTCCCGTGGTACACCAGCGCCTTTTTCAATTATAGATAGCATCTGTGATCTGAAGATAAAAATACTTTTCACAGGCTGAACAAAATAATGCAATGTGGGTAACAAGGCTGCAGACAGCTCGCGATCAACAATCTCGGCTGCAGGAGATAATGAGCCGATCGCCACGTATAGCAAGACAGAACAACGTAATTTTGGAACTGTGCCCTATTCGTTTTCTAAAGATTTAGTGGTTTTTCAGGAGGAAGAATGCAGAACGCATTATCAAAGCGTATGGAAGAATTAAAGGTGGAATGTAGTCAACAGGAAAAAGAAGGAGCTAGATTGAAGAAAGAATGTGAGACATTTTTGAACATGATCATAATACATTTCACAACATAACTTCATGGTTGTTTATTACCTTAGGAGAGTTCAATGAAGTGAAAAAATTTAAGTTCACCAGCTAGATCCTAGGAGATCATGCAAGGAGAATTTCGCGTTCACTCCTATTTCTTCCACTCCGTTTGAACTTTTGGTTCTTTTTGAACTGCATTTTGCATGGAAAACTTATTTTCTTTTGCATGTGACCTTAAGAAGAAAATATATTCTATATCTGATTTTCAATCATATTTTACCGCTTTTCTGGGAAACCGTTTGATACGGAAAGCGCTTTTTCTGAATGGCTGTTGCATGTTTTGGGAGTACCTCTCAAAACATAGAAACCAGATTCATTTTTCTGAACGCTCCTTCGAATGCCAAAAAGGAGCAAAAAAGGTTGTTGGGGACATGCGCCTGCAATGGAGTGCCAGGCAATAATCAGAGTAGAAAAGCTCGAGTTCTGACTCACAGTTATATGAAAGTCACTGCCCGAATTATTTCAAGAGAAAAAGTAGGTCAGTCGGCCAGCTTCATAAGAACATTCGGACACAACATGAACTCCGACACGAATACAAAAAGCAGAATATCGATGAAACTTTGTGAGGGGCAGAGTCATCGAATCCAGAACGCTGAATCCAGTTCTTCGAAGAATTTGTGACGGCTGATCAAGGAAATGACACCCAGTGTGTCGGGGAGCTCTGTCCGCCGTGTGCTCAAGTCATCTCCCCACATTCTCCGAAAATTTTCTTGGCATGTCTGACGTGCACGCAAAGAATGCCCGAGCCCGTCCCCAAGTGAGAGGCTGGACCCATCATCTGGTTGAAGAATTTGCATTGGTGTTGTCTTCAAATATTAATAAACGGTACAGTACTGTAGGTAATTATTTCCGACGAACAGAAGTCCAATTTAGCATGACCGCTTTTTGGCGCGTTATGACGAAGGAGCCATGTTATTTTCCTGTGCGCAGATTCGCTGACGGTAGTGATCTGGATGGGGCGCCTCGTGGTTTCTGTAAGGGTGGAGTCATATTCACCAGACATCTCATGTACATACATATTCCTATATTTACAGATGAGCGCTCCAAAACGATTCCATAACATACAAGCAGCAATTCATGCGGATCAAATCTCAGCCAGATAATGTTCCCCTTACTTTCTCACCAAAGTGTGGTGTGGAGAAATTTTAGTTTTCTTATAAGACCAAACTTAAATTCGATCAAGAACCTGTGCGATAATCTCAAAGAGTTCAATTTACTGCGAACAATTCAATAAAGTAGAACATTCGAAAAATTCATATAAGAGACCTGGTGGCGAGTATCGCTCTAGACAATGTCCCGACTTGTCGTCACCGTGCTAAAGTGAATGATTGAAACAAGTGAAAGGAGTAGAGATGTTGCATGGTTTCGAGTATGCTATTTCTGCTGCTATTTGTTGAAGGTTTCGTGGGAGAACTGTATGACCTATGCGACTTGCTTTTTGTGGCACATTTTCCAAAAATAAACACATACACACAAAATGCTATTTCATGTTTCATATGACGAATTGATGGGAGACTTCTTTGAGAGCAAAAAACCAGTGATGTCACTATCACATGGAGACACCCTATGTATCTCTGTATTTATATGTACGGTTTTTGAGAGTAATTATTACATGTTCTTAGTGGAGTTTCAAACCGCTACTCCGTTGCGTGTTTTCATGGTGAACTTTGCGAAAATCGCTCTCCGAACATATGAAATGCAGGAAAAGCTCATTGAAGCAAGGAGGACTCATGAGCAGTTGAAGGTATGTTTTCTCTCCTATGAGCCAATTCAACGAAGTGTCCTCATTATAGAGTGATTTTAGCCGTGGGGAAAATGTGCGTATCGGATTAAATTGGATTCTTGGTTTTGTGAATGTAGAAATGCTGGAAAAAGGGCCAATGCTTGTTTCAAGCATTAGGAACGCTACTTGCGCGCCTTATCACAAGCCAAGACGAGAAATGCGTTTTCGTCTAACAAAGGGAGGGCCGTAGCTGCAGTGGACGATGTAAAGTGGGTAGGGCCAAAATTAATGCGACCGTGAGTGCGAGCAGTCAAATTCCTTCTTAGGCCTCTCCGTTTTCCTCACCACGACCTAACCTGCTTCCTCCCGCGGCGCTAACGATACGGTACGCCCACCGAGCTGAGGTAACACCGCCCCCACCATTAGCAGAGGCATCAGCGCTAAAGAGTGCAGCACTGGACCTAGTCGCATGAAGGGAAAAATCAACGGACAAGGAAGTAGCCCAGTTCTAGCACGCCACTGTACCATTTCCACTTTACTGGGACCAGAGTCAACCCTGCGTTGCGCAGTTCGCAACGGCACGTTGAGAGATCCTCAACGCACGCTGTATGGGCGGAGACACAGACGGCTCGAGCATGCGAGTGTGAATGTTCGCGCGAGAGAACGTGTCTAATCGGGCGAAACTGCGCAACGTGGCCGTTGAGAACTGCGCAACGCAGGGTTGACTCTGCTGGGAACCTTCTAATCGTAAACTCCACTTTCAATTTTCAAACTTCTTCATGGAACCTTCTTCTTGGGACTTGCACCCGAGTTTCGCCTTAACAGTTAATTGAATGTGTACAATGAGCTGTTTTTGGCCTATCCCTATTTTCGAACGCCTCTTCTCTGAGTTTATCTTTGCACTCTTCTGAGCTCTCTTAATCTTTGTTTTCTGTGCTTTTTCCATCTCGTTTGTTTTGCCCTACTTCTTTTCCCGGCTTTTTCGTTCAAATTTTTTACGCCCGTGTTAGGGCTGGCATGTCGTTTAGACGTATGAAAATAAATAAATAAATAAATAAATAAATAATATTCCGCTCCAAAATGCGCCACGTACTCTACTTCATCCACAACCCCGCCCTTGATGGATCTTTGTTCTTGACTGCCTGCACATATAGTCCATGTTCCCTTCTCTTTAAGATCCCAATGGGAATCTAGGATCACTTTCTGGAAAAAAGAAATTGGTCACTTTTGTGTGAATTTCCGATATTTGAAGAGATATTTTGTCAGTCTGAGAAGGCAGCGACGAGAACGCTTCATGGACTACTGTTTGTAGAGTGTAGAGGTAGCGTTACGTACCTGATGTAGAGCGAAGTTAATTTCGTGGTGTGACCGCGAAAATCACTTCGCATCTTGTCTCAGTGATCAGACTAGCCTTTTTTTGGAAATACAGTCACTGGCAGATTTGTGATTTATCGCGATTTACAACATTTTGTCCTTGTATGTTTAGTGTAAATAATGTTATCATCATCCATGCATTCATTTTCAACGGAACTTTGGTGTCAGTTCCTTTTCCAGGCAGTGCATTTTAGAAATCTTGAAGAAGCAATGTGATCCGAAAATCTTGCAGAATGAGGAAGCGGAAAGGCGTGCGAAAGTGGGAGCGTCCGAGTACGATGTGTTCGATGTGACTTTCGCGTCTCAGGAGTTAGCACTAAATAAGGTTGTGTACATGTTTGGTTCCCGCTTCCTTTTCTAGCATTTTTCAATTGTTTCTTCTGATTTTTTTTTTGAAAAAACCCTCAAACATCTCGGAAGAGAAGTTATACGACAATCACTGAGGAATGCAATAGTGTTTATTGAGGACTTTCTGGACTTTATTCCTTACGACCTCCAACTGTTCACTCCACATTCAAATGGTTTAACCACACTTTGTCGTATTTAAATCGAATGTTTCCAACTTAGTATTGAAGAGCACATTCCATTGTATGAAAAAACCCTAACAGTGGCTCTTATTAGTGTACGACATTAGAAAAGGCACTCCGGAGATATGGTGCACTGCGTCGAGTCAAGGGTCCGTGATGGTTGGTATACCAACGACGATTTTCTGATGAGTGAGCTCTGAGGCGGTTGCAGGTGCTCAGAGGTATTAATGCCCAGGAATATCAACAGTGAATCGATCAAAGAATTCCGAAGGGGTTTCAGGCTGAAGCCATTAGGGCCTCCTGGGCGGGCGGATTGCCAGATGACGTCATAGTTCGTTAGACGGTGAAGCAGTGAAGAGACGCTTGCCGGATACTTGAAAATGAGGAATTATTTTCTTATAAACGTTTGCCCTCGACAGCCGTCTTGGGACGAAAAAAATCGGCAGACTTTGCGACATGAACAATGCCTTTGGCTTTTGCACCTCTCCTTATGTTGGCACACATTTCAAATTCGGGAGCTTTTATCGAAAACTTATCGAAATGACTGCTAAAAATATGAATGCTCTATTGAGATGAACATAGTATTTTTAGCAGTCATTTCGACACGTTTTCGATAAAAGCTCCAATTTGAATGTTGCCACATCAAGGAGAGGGGAAAGGGGGTGGGTGCAAAAAAACATTTTGTTCATGTCGCAATTCTGCGATTTTTTTCGTCACAGGACCGCCGTCGAGGGCAAACGCTTATAACAAAATATTCCTCAAATTTTAAGTATCCGCAAGCCCTCTTTCACTGCCCTCATCGTCTACGGACAATGCTCTATTGAGATGAACATAATGAGTACACGCCTGCGACATCATAATATACTAGTACATATAAAAAGCCTCTCCATCTGAAAATCGTATGACTAAATACCTCCAGTAAGGTCCCTAATTTTTCCTTTTTTTCCTTTCCTTTAATTGACCTTTCTGCGGTGTTTTTTATTTACAAACGAGTTTTTCTACTCACATTTTTTAAATTTTTTTTACAGACTTCTGAATGCCCTGTCGTAATCGAGCCGCCTAAGAAATCCCTTCAAGCTATACCTGAAGCAGCAGAGGAAGAAACGATTAGTGGTAGTACGGTGAATTCAAGTGAAAGTCTTCGCTCCACTCCTCCAGCTCAACCACCACAAGCAACTGAACAAGAAGTTATTCTCGCTCGTACGAATGCTGTTAAAAATTATGTGACACAGCAGTCGGAAGCTGTTGCCAGAAAAGCTGTTGAGGTGATTCTTTCCTATCTAAATGTAGTCATTGTTCACAAGAGGTATGCTTATAATGTGTGTTTAGGAAGGTAGGAAGCCCCTTCCTTTTCCGTTCAACTGAATTGGCGAGTGGTTCGCACGCAGCCTTGTTGTTACTAAACCAACCTTCAAGCACAATTTGCGGATCGTATTTGAGCAGTTGTTTTACCTCGGTTAAAGAGTAGCTACAGGGAAGAACACGTGGGTTGATAACGCCAACATCCAAACTCTAGGGGCCTTATAACATCCAAGTGCAGGGACAGAACTCCTCCAAAGGCTTGCCAACCACTGAACTTTCTTTCCAGTGTTCCTCCATTATCACTGGGAAGCACTAATTCCAGATAATTGAACGCACGTTTTGTGTCACGAATTTACAGCCAGTTGAAATGAATGATTACCGCAATGTTGAGCAATGTCAGCAGCTCATTTCCTTGTATGAAAAAATAGAAGGCCCACTTGCTTTTTCGCAACTTGATCTCAGTGCGATCCTAGAGTTCGGGGTGGATTTCTATTTGTGGTATTTGTACGTTGGCTTTCCCAGCGAGGTCAAATGTTTCTCGAGGGGTGGTATTTGGTCAAGGTGGTAGAGAGGGTCGTAAGGGCTTGTATCAGAAGTGAAATAGAGCTGCTAAAGCCTTCTGTAGGGATTCGAATCGCGACTCGGCTGGATATCGCTAGATATCGATATCGCGTTAAGTGCAATGACCTCTGAGTCAAAGGTTGTACATTTGAAATAAAGTACCAAAGCGTTGTAAGTCCGAATTCCGGTCTATTGTGGTACTGAGCAGCATTGTAAATTTCACGTAGGGTGAAAGACGCGCGTGGTCGGTTGAAGGGGTGGCACGGGTGAAAATGCGCCTGATTGGAGAGTGAGCGGAATTTTTCATGGATAGTTTTTGATGTCGAGCTTTTTCTGATGTGCGGGTTTCGTAATTCGACAAACATCTCCGCGTTTTTCGACCAGATTCTGCTTTTTTCGCCTCTGCTGCACGAAACAAAAATTTTGCAGTAAGGAATTTCTTGATTTCACACTTCTTCTTACGATTTTATATCCTGCGGTTCTGGCTTTATCCGATGAGTTTCTGTGTGATGAGACTTCAACTAAAGCACGCAATAAACCTTAGAGAGCTTGCATTCCCTGGAGGAGGCGCACTGCAACGCTTGAAATCATTCTTACGTGTCGTACTTGTACTCTCTTCTTCCCACGCACACCTCTACTCTCCAGCGCAAGGCTAGTATAAACGGAGTAGGCAGCAAAATTGAATCCTTACCTAGTTTTGCTTGGCGATACGAGTGATATGAAGTTTGTTCATTTCACCAAAGTACTATTCGTTTTGATGACAGATGGCTTGGTCACCATTATTTTGGGATACCCTGTTAAAGGTATGCTAATCACAGAATATCCTTTTGTAGTCTGATGACAATGATTCTGGTGAGATGACTCGAGATGAAGACGAGCGTGAGTCGGTTTGCGCTCGAGAGCCTCAACAGCAACATGGAAACGATATCGAGGTGAATAATCAAGAGGTTGTGCCCTTCAATCTAATATTGCCAAACCTTGGATAACCTTAATGATGAAGGTCGCTAGCGTTGCTGACGAAGAGTGTGCACCACCTCCAGATGATAACGACATGAATGAGACTGTAGAAGAGCGTGACGGTATGATCCAGTGCCAGGTGAGTAATGTCGTGAGACCAGCGTAACAAGAAAAAGACTAGTTCTTCATACTCTTCGGTGTTTTTCAAGTGTCACCAGGGCTGATTTATGAATAGTGCAACAAATTGCCTGAATATGAGAACAAAAATTCATAACCCGCATCTACATTCCTTAGGAATCGGGACCTGGGGACTTCTCGGATGACGACTCTGCCATGGATTCAGGAGCAGAAGATCAGAATGTAACGATGGAAGAAGGCGAGGAAGAGGTATGTGTTAACCTCTGCTGCTTATATCGCACGCGTGCACTTATTTTCTGTAAGGTAGTTTCGATGAGGTTACTTGAGAAATTGCTCTTATACATCCCGCCCTCATTTCTTCTGCGAACTCAGCAATAATCATTCGTTTCATTGTTACGTAGTCGCCAACCATGGTTTATTTAAAGGAATAATTCACGATAAGAATAAATGTCAAAGAAGGGGAAAATTGCATAGTTGGGAGACAGGCGGACCTTTCTGAGAGGTGCTGACCGACGCGCAATTGGCAGCGAAAGATTTGACCTCGGCGATCGGCCATGGCATGGCTCACTCTTGACGCGGTTGCGGACGCCCCCGGCTATCTAGTATCGCGCGCAACATCTGAAATTGTTTTCTCGACATCACTGTTTTTTCGGCATTCGTTTTTTCGTTCATTCGGCACGAAAGTTCACCAGATGTGATTGAGCAGCTGCGCGTGTAATTTCGTTCCAGGCGACGCGACCATGATATCATTATTTCCATTTAAGTTGTTTCAGTTATGGACCGCAAGAAAAGAGTGACGACCGCCTCTCTTCCACTACCTACAGTGCAGAGGACCTGTCTCCATGCTCAGGAAAGTGGTGATCTAGCGCCTTAAAATCATTGACCAACATCCAGCTTCTGGTGATCGTCCATGAATTGGCCAAGCAGTAACTTCGTGTGTTCGTCACTTCCTTCAGCAACCGCGAGTAATGGCCGAGAATGACTCCCCAAAGTTGAATATTACCAGTATACCTAACATCGAGACCCATCAATGTAATACCGGAGAAGGTCCGCTCCAAAGTTATCGCACCAGTGTACGGTTGAAAGGTAATGCGCAGTGAGCTTTGGCTAAAATGATAGCTTTCATCCGGCATACAGAGGATCGCTGGTGAACTCACTGTAATGCTACGAGTGAAATCGCTTAAAAACCTATTTGCAATCATTATTTATTATTATCACCCGATATCATGCGCAACCCATCGCTATCAGTGCATGCTCATTAGAAAACATGCAGTCGGAGAGGTGCATCTGACAAGCAGCAATTTGAAGCAAATATATGCTTGGCTTATCCTCGCTTGAAGCCTCATTGTCCTGCAGCCTGAAGACAAAACCATTTGAACATCAGTCATTTGAACTTTCATTTTCCTTTCTGACCATCTCGTTATAGGGGTTCAATTTGTAGTCAAAAAAGCGTAAGGTCTTCGCAGCAGTCGCAGCCAAATGCCGGAAATCAACGTGCTTCGCAGAGTAGCAAAGGTTGGAGCCGGTTCTTGAAAATCTCACTCTTTTCTAGGCTAGAAAAAAATAAGAAAAATCTAGTTTCAGCGTCGAATAGTCCGTTGAATTTCAAGAATGCTTCCGATTGTGTGGACCCAAGTCAAGAAGTCAATACTTTCGTCGATAATGTATGATTACGTTAATGACCTTCGTGAAATGTTGTTGTTGTTTGAAGTACGTCGTTTTCAGCTCCTTAACGCCCCGCGATCTCCAATTCGAGAAGAAATGCCTTTCAACTTTGATTGCAATACTGATAACGATGGGTTTGACCCCACAGCAGCGCTTAATATCAGCGCGCACAGCAATGGTATAGCAATTTTTCAAGCCGCTTTCCCTTGTAAGGAATTTTAGGGCATTGAAAAGATCCACTGTGCTCTAGATCCTGGCGCTGATTTCCTTTCAATGATGGAACAAGCTAATGAAAAGCGGGATAAACATCGTAAGACTTCAAACTCCCCAGGTATAGAAATTTCTGGTACTGTTATCAATTTGGCGTACAATTCTGAATGGATTTCAGCAGGAGAATTCTCTTTCTCAATGTTTTGTATGGGTAACGATGCTGCAGCTGATGGAGGTATCTTCTGCCTCTCTATTTTTTCTGAGAAATCCTATTTTGTGCTCAGGTGCCGGTGGAGACTTTGCCTTTGATTTCGGCAGTACACCAAATGGGGGTGAAGAAGGCGATGATGGCGGATTTCAGTTTAATTTCGGTGGAAGTCCTGACAATAATGACAGTAACGGAAAAGCTGGCGGAAGTTTCAACTTGTTTGGTTTTTAATGGCCTCGAATTTCTAATTTGTTCGATTTAGTTTTCAGTTCGATTCACGTAACACCTGCTCCGAGTTTGTTGAGTGTTTTTAAATGTTGTTGATTTTTGTTGTTTTTGCAGCTGTAAATTTTGAATAAGATCCTCCACATCCTAACGATGGGGTGAATGCGGGCTCGAGTTTGCGTGATGTTTGAGGGCATTCAATTGTTCCTAACTTCTCTCTAGAGGTTGCACATCAAGGACGATGGTAGTCAAATCAGCTGTTTATAGAGAAATTTTTCATCGACGTAAACTTCACTTGGGTATCTCCACAGATCGTTAAATTTCTGAACAATAATTTCTGGTATTATTATATCAATTTTGGATTTCCTCACCTTTTGTCATTGTAGCGTTACAATGTA